TCTATTGAGGTGGACTTGTCACGATTCTCTCGCAAGTCCTCAAAAAGCTCTCGGTGCTGTGCGAATTTTCTCACAAGGATTTGTCCGATGTGTGGCGTGACAGAGAGAAAGTATGAGAGAGAGATAGAGAGCGAGAGGGGTGGATATGTGTGTATTTTAGATAGGAAATTGTCCTTTTGCTGCTGTAGAGTTTTGTTATTATATCGATGACTTGGCAAATGACCACATTTTCCACGGAAAGAGGAAATATTCTGAGCTAAACTGTTTGGAAGGGGTGGGTGGGATAAATTTGCAAATTATTATTTAATGTCCACCCCCTGAGGTGTTACTAATTGCATGGTAGATTCCTGCTGATTTTCTCCACTCCCGGGAAGCTTCAAAATAACATATCGTCGCTTTCCCTCTCTTGAAGACTGTGAGGATTTCTTGGGAATGTGCGTGAGACTGTGAAAGTAGGAAAGTCACACATTACATGTTTTCCACCCTCTTCGTGTCATGAGAAAATATTAAAGATGGTGAGAAATTTCCTCATTTTCTACAGTAATGAATGATGTGTAGTGTTGGAGAAAAAAAAAGCGTCTTTGACTACCGGGAAATGGGTGGAAAACATTTGATGTGTGGCGGGGTGTGGTGATGATACTTTTTGTTGGGAGAAAAGGCAAAATTTTCAGTGTGTTTGAGCGATCAATTACGAAGAATCGGCATCATCGCCGGGTCTTCGTATTTTAACGACGCACGCCCTTAAAAGTTTCTTCAAAACTCACGATTTTCCCTACAATTTCTGAGAGAGGGAGAGAGAGGAAATTCGAGAGAGTGAGAGCGATGGAATGTTCGGGTGTGTGTGAGTTTGTAAGGGCTCGTGAAGGAGTAGATTTACATACACATTGAAGCTTTGGACGACTGAGGACATTCATCCCACTTCGGCTACCCTTGAGAGAACTCTTCTAATTCGAGAGAGAGAGAGAGAGAGTGGCAAAGAGAGTTGAGCTTTCGAGGGATGGCAAAGAGTGGTGGAAAATCCGAAGTCTCACCGAACATTCTTTCTGTCCCATATATAGACAGCAACTCCTCAACTACATATGCAGAAGTGTCCCTGATTGATTGGTTGTGTTGAAAGTGAAGCTTTTGCCGGAAAGCCTTCCAAGAACTGCCCCCGCATTTTAGCGCTGTGGGCGCGCTTCACTGAATGGCCCTCGAGAGCCTCTCTCAATTCAACGCCCCGCGGCACGAGCTTTAAAGCTCTCGCTGTCTCCAGAGTGAGAATTGTGTGTGTGGCGAGAGAGCGCATTTTGAGTGTAAATTTGATTAATGACCCTGTCGATTGTGATAAATGTGAATAATTCAGACCGCAAACACACGCCGCATTTGGCCGCTCCGCAGCAGCGCAAAAAAAAAATCACCCCCGGAAAATCACGTACGACGGCGGGGCTTTGGGTTGGCGTGTGTTGTGTGTGTGTGTGCGTGTGTATGCGCGAGCTTTCGGCCGAGCAACTCCTTCGTGGGGAAGCGTCAAGTTGCCGGGATTGGCAAAGTTTGTTGGCGATTCTCTGTTGGGAGTTTTCTAACGCGCATCTGTGAAAATATGACGAGAAAATGCGTTGTGCTGGGGAAAATATGGTGGAAAATGTATGCGATGAACGAGAGGAAGGCACGACGTCGACTCAGTTGGGGTACAATTCGCGCGAGGACTGCGTTGTAGAAGGGACCTCTCTTCTCATCCAAAATTTTTTTGGGAAAGGGAGGAAGGAAAGTTTTCCTGTGTGTGTATTTCATTTCTGGAGGCGTGCGAAAAATGCCCGATTTTCTTCGTTTTCGCCACACAATTCAGCCAAAATGTCTGTGATAGTGAAAACAAGTGTCTTTCCCGAGATATTTTCCAGTGCTAAAACACCCGGTCTGGCCGTCAATGTGATAAATTGCCTGTAGGTACACTTTTTGGGAGGGTTTTCGCCAGTTTTCTCCCGGAATTTCTCTCAAACTTCCCCGGTGGTGCGATGGTGCAAAAAACGTGGTATCGAGCAAGATTGTCACTAAAGGTTATCCATCCCCCATGTTTTTTTTTTCCTCTTGCATTCACTTTTCCACGCATCATTTAATGGCAGAGACTTTTCACCATGACAATGTTTTGACTTCCTAATACTGTGGTTTGATTGTTGAATAATAATTGAGTGTATGACTATATTTGAAGTCATTACGCAGTGAAAAGCGTGGGTGGTTTTATTTTTAAGAATGGTGAACATTTTCCAACTGTGAAGTCTGTGAATTATTAAAAATAATGTCTTACCGGGAGCTTTTTCTTGCCTACATATCTAGAGTGTTGTGTGGAAACTTTTAACTTTTCACCCTTCTCTCTCTCTCACACTGCCTTCTAATCCCCACCATCTGTGGACTCGTGTGCTCCATTCGGCAATGATGAGAGTGTGGCGAGGGAAAAATGATGCAGAATTCTACTGTATATATGGAAATATGTATGGAAATTGTGGGGGTGATTTTGATATTCTTCGTCGTCTCTTTGGAAAATATTATAAATATATCTGTGAGCTGATGTCGCGTAGTGGGTGGTTTTGTGTTGCTTCTGCCCGCTGTGTATTTGTATATGTTGAGGGGGTGGAAAAGTGGATCAACGTGACATAACCTCAATTTAGGGTGTAGTGCAAGGCGTGAAGAAAATGCGCAACAACATTCAATCGAACATACCAATTCATTTCACATCTTCCACATCTTTTATGGCCATTGGCCTCACAATTTATCCTGGCAGATCTCCCTGCCTTCGGGTTCATTGAAGAGTTTGATAAAGCACTTGTGCCAGGTTGAGTGGTGAAATTGAGGGGATTTTCAGTATGGTAAAATTGCGGCATTTTTAATCATAATTTTATTTGACATGTGATTAAGAACACTTGATTACTGTGCCGAGAGAGAGAGAGAGAGAGTGTGTGTCTAACTTTTAATTGACTACTTGTATGTGAGTATTTTTCTGCGGACCTCTCGTGATTTCCCTTTAGATTTTTAGCACTCGAGGGAGTCTCGTGAAACTGTACATGAGTGGGAGCATAGTCACGGTTGTGAAGAGAATTGCAGTAATTCCGTGGGTGATTTACGATGGAGCTTTAAGCTTCACCAGATCCGCACTGGGGGATGCTTTGGGTCTATTTGCACGATATGTGTGAAGTGCCCAGGAAAAGGGATGATGACGATGAGAGGAGTCTTCTCCTGAAGACTACACGCAAATGGGGTGTGTTATTGTTGTTTTGTGTGACGTCAGGGTGTGTTTTTCTCACACATGAAAATTTATTTTTGACAGTCATTCTATTTGCTTTTTATACCCCAATACGCGAGTGGGCTTTTCTCCACCGGGGCTTTTTTCTGTCTTTGATGGAGCACCCTTTGCGTTGTGTGCGAGTGAGAGATGGTGAGCGTGTGTGTGTGTGTGTGTTGGTTTTCCTCCCTGGGTTCTGTCCAAATATTCCGCAAGCAGTCTTTCCGCGTTGGGATGTGGAAATGGGTGATGAAAGTGATACTTATTTGATGATTGAAGAGAGGAATTTCATCGTTTTCTCTTTTATAATATGATTTATTCGACTAAAGGCCAATTTCATGGGATAATTTTTCACTAATTTCATCAACATTTCTTGTGGGAGAGCCACAGAGTATATGTATTTTGATATGTAGCATTTTATATAGTTAATTAATTCTTGCACTCTTCACCATTGACGCCCAAGGCAGTATATGGGATGAAATGGGGTGGGGATTGTAGAGGGATGCTGGTTGCGAGAATGCTTCCTCAGAACGACGATGCCGTGCCAAGAAAAACCCCACCCAGAGTATAGTGGTCGGAGTGTACGACAGTCGGAGAGAGTGAGCGAGGAGAGAGCGAGGAGTGGTGGAGGTTTTCCATGAAATTGCAGCAGAGAAGCAGCAACAAGAGCTTTTAGTGGCTGGGACACATAATTTTCCGGACGAACTTTTCCATCATCTTGTTTGAGGATGAAATATATGTGTGTATGGTTTTGGGAATGGGTGGCAGTTAACGTGGTTTACCATTCCTCAAACCTCCTTTGGCGAATGGGGTGACCAATAAATGTACGTGTGTGTGTGTGTGTGTGTGTGTGTGCATGAGGAAAGTCTACGGAATGGTTTTGGTGAGATGGGGAGTTTTTGGGGATGGATTATATACAATGTTGTTGTCCCTCTAATTGAAAGTTTACGTTCCGCTTGTTTCTCGCCGTGTTATTTCTCCCAATTGGATCTATGAAGTGTTCTGTATGGTGGTGGCCTTTTTTTTCGCCTCACACGTCCAACATTGCGCCGTAGGAGAGTTGTGTGGTGTCTTGAGTGGCGGCAGAGGATGGTAATTGAAGATGTCTTGTCGGAAGAGTGATAAAAAACGAGAACACTACTTCAGTGTGATTTATTTCATATTGTTTTCTTTAGCGAGTCGCGACGAAAGAGTCGGAGGATCGAATTAACCTAAAATATCTTGGGCACAGCAGTCTTGCACACATGGAAAATTCATGGGTGTGAGGAAGGGGGGGGGGGGGGAAGCAAGAGGAAATAATAATTGGATGGAGAGGAGAGCATTTTCCTATCTCTCTCCGTGTGTCTCTCGATGGGAAAGATAGTGGATAGTGATGGTGGTGAGGCAGTAAATTAATGTCTCACTCTTGACTTGGTCATATAGACACTTTCTCGTTGGGTTTTAGAGGAGAGAGGAGAGATTTTCAAACCACCGCTGGTGATTGACAAAGTTTGTCTACTTTTCCCTGTATCTCAATTTTCCCCGCAAGACATGAAGGGTGGTGGTGGTTGAGAAATCACTCTACAGTGGGCAGTAATTTGAAAGATGCTAATGGGAAAGTTCATGCAAGTAATCACAGAGCTCTCGAGAGTAGTTAAGTGTTCTAAGAAGAAAATCTAGATTCTCATTTGATGGTCTTTTCCCAAAAGAAATGCTTGAATTCTTGACACATGTTGCTTAAGATTCGCCTTTTCCTTATTTGCAGACAAGCACGATCAAACATTCTTCATCAAGGATGTGCGAAAAGTGGTGGAGAAAGTGGAAAAGCTGGAGAGTTGTGCACTGCAGAGTGATCTATTTGATGCCCTCCTGGAAATTGTTCTGCGATACATCGGCAGTCAGTTTGAGTGTGTACGATCGAATGCTGTTAATGTGCTGCTGGAACTGCAAACATCGCCGCTCTTCTGCGAGAACAACTTCATTGAAGTCATCAAGAAAGTGCTGAATCCGGACAGTAGTGAAGCATTTGTACTGCTTCAGGTGAGTTAGTTTAGCTTTTTTTTCTTGTGGCTATTTTGCAGACAGTATTTGAGGGAGAATATAAAAAAAGGAGAAGAGCAGCACTTGAGATGTGGTTTGGCATCAAAATTGGCTGTTTTAGTGTTAATTTATACATTCTATCACAGCCAGCTTTGATGAGCAATTCACATCTTCCAATGATCATCAGTGTGTGATAGTGACTGTGATGATGAATATTAATAGGTGGAATTTGAGCAACAGAAATTTGAGAAAATTTTTGACCTGGCTCACAAAATGGTTGCTGAATATGTGTTTTTTCAATCATATCACAGCCATTTTGATGAGCTCGGATGAAAATTATTGACTTCATGAGACGCTGGAGAGTGAAGAGAGAGGATGATTTTCCTAACTCTATTCGCACGATCAGATCGTCAAGATGGTTGGGTCTATGTATTTCTACGATGTCTCATATCACAGCCATTTTGACGAGTTTGATCGACGCGACATGCCATCGAGTGATCAAAATGGTGGGCGAGAGAGTGAGATAGAGGGAAGAGAGGGTGACAAAATTCCAATTGGATCGCCTCTCAAAGTGGCTGTGAAATGTTGGTTATGTATTCATATCACAGCCAGCTTTGAAGAGCGATTCGATTTCGGTAAGTTCATCTGTTGTGTGTGCGGCATGGCATTATTTTCCAGTTTATTTTCTCCCCTGAAGGACACCACAGGACATTGGCAGCTGTATTTGCTGTATGGTTATTTTTCAAGGATGACTGAGCTCACAAAGTGGCTGTGAAATGTCTTTTTGATATTCATATCACAGCCAGCTTTGATGAGCTTAGACATTCTGTTGATCTGCTTTGGTATTATGATATGAATGAATAGTGGTGTATCGTGTGTGATTTTCCTGGAATTTTTCTTCATCTTTCTTTTCTCCTTTCACAATAATAATACCATTGGTGTGTGAAGAGCTTTTGAAGTTAAAAACAACTTCTGTAATTCCTCTTTTAGATCATGTACACGGTAGCCCCAATAATCGGAAACAGTAATACAGACAAGTATTTGTGGCCGACATTTCTGTGGATGACGAATGATCCGTCGCATTCATGCATCGTGAAACAGGCTCTCGTGCGGACACTGGGGATGTTCTGCCGCATTCTAGGATCAGAATGCACCGAAGTTCGATTGGTGGGTGTCACTTTTGCACAGAAAGAGAGAAGAATTAATTGGTATTGTTGGTTGAGTGTGTTTTCACGGGAATTTTTCTTTCTTTTTCTCTCTTTTAGTGGCCCATTTATGTGAAATTGTCCAAAGATAGCAGCTGGCGTGTTCGACAGCACTGCGCTAGAATCCTGCCAATTGTTAGTTTATTCTCATCGCCAAAGGAGCGTGATCAGCGTGTGGCGCCGCTGATAAAGAGATTCCTAACTGATCCGAATCGCTTTGTATTCCTCGTGGCGAGCGACATGTTGGGAATCTATTTAGCAACATTCGCCAATCCGCGAATCCTGACGGTGTATGTGAATACGAAGATGGAACTTTCACTGCCCAATCCGGCCGATGAGGACTTCAAGGAGTGCCTGCAGAAGGAGTCTGAGCGTGAGAAATTCGCTAGCTACGAAGAGATGTTTTCGCAGACGCTCGACAGACACTCATACAAGGCTTCCAGTGAGTCTTTGCGTCCGGACAGGGGACAGGAGATTCTCTATCCGCTGGATGTTGGTGGGAAGATTCTCGAGAAGTACTTCAGATTGTCGAATTTGCCGGTGAAGCTCCATCTGGCGGGCAGTGATGAGGCACACAGGAGGCGAGAACTTGAGGACTACTTCGACAACATGAGCTATGATTGCTGGCTGATGGATTTTAAGAATATTATAAGTGATAGGATAAAGTTTGATGAGGGAAATCTCTCGGAATTTTTCCCCTATCACCCGGCTGTGGATGAGCAGATCCATGAGGAGGATCTCATGGGTATTGGCGCAGAGAGGAAGAGTGAGCAGGTCCTCGCTCTCCCATTGCCCGCTCCGCCGCCGCCCATGAAGAGTCTGTCGGCGAATGCGCTGGAGGAGGAGGAGGATGATGACAGTGATGAGGAGTCGAGTACGGAGATGGAGGAGCTTCTGCAGGATCTGCAAGAGGAGGCGCCAGAGTTGTGGCGGAAGTTGGCACATGCTCATTCGAAGAGGAAGCTGGCACGGAAGGCGGCAGCAAAATCTTCCCCATCTGTGGAAGTTGAGAACATCCCTCCAGCGACAGTAGAGTCAGAGAGTCCATCTGTGTCTGCTCCAGTCGCTAGCATATCACCCATTCAGCACACGGCGGCACCAGCATCGACGACTGCAGGTGAATCGGAAGTGCCAGCGGCCAATTCCTCCGCGCAGACGGAGAAGAATGGACAACCTGTGGTCAGAGCGGCAAATACACAGTGTCACTTGAAGCGCAATACGCCACACGACCTGCGGGATATCATAAGTCAGGCGATTGAGGATAGCTCGAAGAGGAAGGTGAAGCTACAAGTGGATATGTGGAAGAAGGAGGCGAAGGAGAAGGGACATCTGCCGCCACCGCCGCAAACTGCTTCCATTGAGAATGCTTCTGTGGAACGAAACTACTTTCTCGCGCCGTCGTCGAGGGAGATGAGAGCGACTTTTGCTGAGATTGTCTCCAGGGGCATCGATATGGATGACGGGTCGGCGGACAGGAATGAGAACATTGTGTCGGATTTCAATGATAATCCCTCGAGTGGCGAGAGCTGCGTTGTGCTGGACTCAACTGAGGAGTCCGTGATGTTTAGGAAGACTATGTTCAAAACTTGCGATCGTGCGAAGAGACAGTACAGAGAGCACCACGATGCGAGGAAGGCTCTCCTCACGCGATCCAGGGCAGTGACATCGTCGGATTCCAATGAGAATTGGTGCTGTGATCAGATGTTGGCGTACGAGAAGAATGGCAATGGTGAGAAGCAGCAGTGTGAGGAGGAGGACGACGAGGCGAAGGAGTTCAATTCGCACAACTTCTGGTATATTGCGCCTGAAAGTGTGTCCATTGCTGAGATTTCCATGTGCTGTGAAAAGTCTGAATCGTCCGAAGTGCCTACAATGTCTCCGGTGCTCGATGACGCCTCGATGGCGTCTCTGCCCATGCGCAATCTGTCCGAGAGCTCTGATGATTCCTTCTGCAAGGATTCCGTCTATAGGGACCTCGAGAAGACACGATCTCACATTAGTGATGGCAATATTGATGCTGGTTTGCTGAAACAAGACGTTCTTCCGCCCGATCTGCTCCAGAGTTTCATCACAAAGGCCAATGCCGATAAGACTGAAGTGTCAGTTGCCTGTGCCTATTCATTTCCGGCTGTGGCCCTCACTTTGGGCAGACAGTAAGTATTCCCAAGAGTCCAAAAGACGGGGAGTTTCTGAGACAACTTCTATATGTATATGGGTGATATTTTCTTTACAGAAATTGGCATTTACTCCTTCGCACGCTGCAAAAACTGTGTGCCAATCATGCGCTGTGCCACATCATGATCAATTCCTTCTATCACATCGCTTTGATTGTGGGTCGTGAGAATGCCACGAAGGATTTGTTGCCGCTCTATTTGCGCTTCTTCGACAATGTCACACGCATACGTCGCGAGGCGCTCAAGATTGTGCACAACTTCTTGTCCACTGTGGATGAGGCGCGTCATGTGGATGTGATTGCGAAGCTGCCCATTTGTCTGGCGGACTTCCACAAGACCAACGAGACGAAGTATCACGTGCGTGAGAACTTTATGAATGTGGTGCTGTCGCTGATGAACATGTACGATCGCAAGGATGCGCCTGTGGACTGTGTGAACTACCTCACGGCGTATGCGCTGGCGATGCTCGTGGACAAGGTGCACCACGTGCGTGAGCTGGCCCTCGAGGCGCTCGTGGTGCGGGTGCGCACGTGCCATGAGCGCGACTTTGCCAATCTGCTGCAGGTTGTGACGGAGGAGTGCGGCGAGAGCAGCCACTGGAGGAACAGGCAGACTTTTGTGCAGCTGGTGCACAGATGGGTGAGTGGATGATTGGTGGCGATGGGGATTGAGTTCTGGTGGCTAATTTGGGGGTTTCTTGTAGGTTGAGGAGGACTTTATAGACATGAGGGTGTTTGTCAGAGACATCTTGCCTCGATTGCTGGTCTTGTCCACTGATCGTGTGCCCAATATTCGTCTGGTTGTCGGGCGATGTCTCTTCAAGACCGTCGGGAATCATCGTGAGTAGAGAGAGAGAGAGAGAGAGAGAGAGAGACTTTGGGGGAGTCAGAATGTTGCAGAAATTGACTGTCTCTGCATTTCAGCTCACTTCGCGAAGGCTTCCATGGAGGACGAGAAGACACGAATCCAGGAGGTGATTGAGCGACTGGCCAATGACACGGATGTTGACGTGAGGGAGTCGTGTGGCGGCGTCGTGAGGCGCTTCAGTGAGAGCCTTCAGTATTGTGACGACACGAAGGAGGCGGAGGACATCGAGGGGGACGTGAACGAGCGCCTGGTGGACGAGAGTCAGCCTGAGGAGTTTAAGACTGCGGAGGAGCCGGAAATGACGGAGGAGAAGCGTCGCGATGTGACTGTGGGAAGTGAGAAGGATGAATCTGAGGTGGCGTCCGGAGTGCTGCAGGATGAGGAGGATTGGTAGTCTTCCGGGAAATTGCTGTCGCATGAGATTTTCTCTGACACGCGATGTGTTCGATGTTGATGGAGGAGGAGAGGCGCGTGCGAAGGAGATTTTCTTTATAATTTCACCGAGAATTCATGAGAGAAAAGCACAAAACACAATTTTATCATCTTTTATTAGTATAGTTTAAATCTTTTTTAAATACAATATTGTAAATTTTGTGAAATAGAAACAGAGAAAGCACACATTTGAGAGAGAGAGAAAGAGAATATTTTCTAATGTAGCAAATTATGCATACTCACTACCAATAGTTTTTAGTTGTTTATTTGCGAAAAAGAGAAAAAGCGAAAGTAGAATCAAATTTAAATTTAACATCTTTTTTGTTGAGTAGAGAAAAACGTGATCGATTATTTTGAGGGTTGGGAGAGAGCGAGAGAGAGAGACAAAGCGGGTTAACAAATGCAATATTGAGAGAAAAGAGAGGGAGAAATAATCGACACAGAGAGAAAATGATGGGTGAAAAATGTCTGTTTTCTTTATGCATTGTACAAAGATGAGACTGAGCCAAGAGTTTTCTTTAAAAACAACCTGTATACAGCAGCAAAAACAATATGATGACGATTTAGGAAGAAGAGAAGCCTCGATGCTCCTCTTTATTAGCCAATTTGTCCTGTTTGTCAGTATGAGAACATTAAATATTTGTCATTTTATATGAAAAAAAAGTGTCTTTCGCTTTATAATTGGGATTCCTTGGATCGCCAGCAAGTGGGAAAGAGTCTTGAAGCCGCGATGCATATGCTTCTACTCGGCTTGGTGCGTGAGCTTCATGGAGTGGTGAAAAGGTGAATATATGGTTCTATGGTGTTTATGTTTGAAGGGCACGTCAAAATTTGCTTGCGAGCAATAGAAAACACCAATTTTCCCTCAGGTGCACTGTTGTGGAGGATTTTCCAAGGTTTCCGTTCTGACAGGGTGTCAAGGAGAGTGTTGAGGTGCTGGTAACCGTGAGACAGAGCGTATGAGAACACCATGACGAGGAACTACGCCAAGTCGTGCAGAATCTGCCTAGCTGAAGGCTCCCGTGACATTTTCAGCTCAATGTCGCCCGCGGGGCTCCGTAGCGACGCCTCGGTGTCGTCTGTGTCGCGCCTGTTGGAGAAATTGCGCTTTGTCACGATGATGCAGGTATGTTGAAGGTCTGGGCCGCTCTCAATGCCACTCACTCACTTTCCCGCCAACTTCTCCGGACACGCAGATATCGGAGAACGACAACCTACCCCCGCTCATCTGCGACTCGTGCATCGTCGAGCTCAACGTGGCGTACAATTTCAAGCGACAGGCCATCGACACTAGCATCTATCTGCAGAGGCACACCATCGAGCTGGGCGGCAGGACGCAGGAGGAGTGCATAGAAACCAGCCCGCCGAGGATCTTCAAGGAGACGCCGCTGGAGGTGAAGGAGGAGCTGCTGGAGCCACAGATTCAGACGCAGATCTTCACCACTGTCGTGGCGGCCGATGCCGGGAGTCCCAGCACATCCGTGGCATCCGGAAGCTCTCGCTCAATGGTGCAGGTGAACACCAGCAGTTTCCCCAACATCGGCGCCGACTCCACATCGGACAAGGACTTCGTGGAGTCCTACCTGCCGCCCAAGAAGCGCGGTCGGGAGTTCCAGGTGCACATGCTCACTCCGACACCCTCAACAGACGAGCCCGCCGCGAAGAGCACCGCCACATCCATAGATCATCACCATCCCAAGAGCTCTCGCGTGCGCACGCACAACACCGCGAAGCAGATCACACTCAGGCCCAGATCCTCGGCGCCCAATTACTCGGAGAAGCGCGTGAAGGTGTACCAATACACGCAGCCGAAGAAGAAAGCGTCCAAGAGCGCCAAGAGCACGCCAGTGAGTGGGAAAAACACTCGCCATCGGCGATTCAAGAATGCCACTCTCACGGCGCCCAGCGGACAATCCATCAATCCCGTCGCGATGGTGAAGACGATGCTGCGGAGCCGCAGGACGCGCCTCACGATATCCTAGAAGTCCCACAGGGGCTGCTGTACATTCTGCTGAATCCCCCGAGCCCAGTAGCATACCTGAGGTGAGAAGCGCCCGTAGACCTTAATGTGAACGCAATTCTAGCTAAAATATTGTGCAGGCTTTGCAAAAAGTTCCGGCAAATGAACCACTTTCGAGCGTGTTTCGCAATGAACTCCAAATTGCTACTTTAGTGTTAATTTAACAATATTTTATTATGCAACTTCAGCGCCAATATGCATGCAAGAAACTCCTGTAAAATCCCTTTGGAAAATCATCATTTCTATTTTCACACTTCTTGAGTTCATTTGGCCAACAATTGGCTCCAGAATACTTGACAATCGAACAAAAAGGAACATTGTGAGTTCTATATTATAGCTAGAATTGCATAAATGAATGTAGAAATGTGGAATTATTGTAAATTTGTACCTACAATTTGGGACCCTTTTAAGGATTCGGCGAATTACAGATTTCACCTGTCGTAAGTCCTTGGAAGCTATATACAATTTCTATACTTTATTTTAGTTGAGATTGAAAGATTTACAACACGTTATAATACGCCCGAAATTAATATTTTAACCTTCTATGGTAGAATAGAGATATTTGTTAGGAGTAGAAATGAAATTGCGAATTCTTTTATCTCTAAACTCTAATCATTGCGAAAAACGGAGTAATTTTGAAGAATTTTTTTTTTAATTTCGAGTGGATAAATATTGTTGAGGAGAATGAATAATTTGATTTGAGGTTTTCCTCGTTGATTTTGTGCTTGATGACGCATGACTAACTTCGTGAAATCGCTGTTATTGCATCATTCATCCCTCTGGATGGTTTCCTTGATCCCTGGGAAATGTAGTTAAGCACACAAGAACGATTATAAAATGAATATATATATGAATGAATAAAATGTATGGTATATTTTAACACGATTGCGAATTTAAAACTCGCGCGTCTCTGAAAATTGTGCTAAATTAGGACAGATTGTCAACTTTTAGTGTCGGCCATGGGCAGTTGAATTGGCGCTGCGGTCGCATCGGTCTTTCTAGTTTGAGAACGTGGTGAGTGTTTACATGCATCGTATATTTTCTCAATTTTCTCCGTGATATCTCTTGAAAATCCAGCACTATCTGTGTGGAAAATCTTCCTCAGTGTTTAAAGTTGTTAATACTTGTGGAGATTTTGCTGGGGGGAGAATTTTCAGGGAGATATTTGGGAGTGTATATCTTAACCTCACAATTGCCTTGCTGACATTGTTTCCGGGGCTCTTTTCAGTGAAAACCACCCGAGATGGGACGTGTAATTCGTGCTCAGCGTAAAGGAGCTGGCTCCGTGTTCCGCGCACACACCGCAAAGCGCAAGGGAGCTGCCAAATTCCGGCAGCTGGACTTCTCTGAGAGGCATGGATACCTCAAGGGTGTCGTGAAGGTGAGTTTCCAGGAATCTGGAGAGGCTTTCTGAGATCTAATGTGTGGCTCTCGCTTTCCAGGACATCATCCACGATCCCGGCCGTGGCGCTCCGCTCGCCATTGTGCACTTCCGCGATCCCTATCGCTACAAGGTGCGCAAGGAGCTCTTCATCGCCGCCGAGGGCATGTACACCGGCCAGTTCGTGTACTGTGGCCGCAAGGCCAACCTGCAGATCGGCAACGTGATGCCCGTGGGCCAGATGCCCGAGGGTACGATCGTGTGCAATCTGGAGGAGAAGACGGGCGATCGTGGCCGCCTGGCGCGCACGTCCGGCAACTACGCCACCGTGATTGCCCACAATCCGGACACGAAGAAGACGCGTGTGAAGCTGCCCAGCGGCACCAAGAAGGTGCTGTCCTCCTCCAACCGCGCCATGGTGGGCGTGGTGGCGGGCGGCGGTAGGATCGACAAGCCCATCCTGAAGGCCGGCCGTGCGTACCACAAGTACAAGGTGAAGAGGAACTCGTGGCCGAAGGTGCGCGGTGTGGCCATGAACCCTGTGGAGCATCCTCACGGTGGTGGTAACCATCAGCACATCGGCAAGGCGTCCACGGTGAAGAGAGGCACGTCGGCCGGTCGCAAGGTCGGTCTGATCGCCGCCAGGCGCACTGGAAGAATCCGCGGAGGAAAGGGAGACGAGAAGAAGGACACCACGAAGTAGAAAAATGTTGCTCTTCTCATCCAATAAACAATTCCTGCGTAACATCTCTGAATATGAGAAAAATTGGTGTATCAATTACAATTACACATGAACCTTTATTATCCGCTTTTTCTTCCTTATCTTCCTTATACAGTCACTTTTTTTTTTGGGGGAGAGGAATTCACATCTCGCACAGTTACATTATTTCTTTTGCATTTTGGGATTTGATAGGGGGGAAATGTCATAGGGTTATTTTATGCTTCACGTTAAATTGACTGCCACAGAGTTTAGAGAGGCGCGAATGCAGAAAGGAGGAAGAAGTGATTGTGGAAAAAGCACTCCTTCGCCTTACAAAAATAGAACTTCCTCGCATTCGCGCTAGACAAGGACTAGCTATTACACAGATTTCTTTTAGCACGTTTCCGGGATTGAACAGTAACTGGAGAGCTCGGATTTCCCTTAGAATATGTCTACGAATTTAGATACAATTTTTTTGCAGTGCTTCTTAACTGCTCCTAATCCAAATATAGGAAAAATTTGTCTTCATTGATGAATAGTTTCAGAGTTACTGTCTAAATGTCAGCCAAACTGTAATTGCATTTGCCATTCTATTGATGAGTTCTTTTCAGTCTCAACAAAACATTACCTTGGTTTATATTTTGCTGATGATTGGATGAACCATAATGAAATTTACTATATGAAAAGAAATGAATTGGTTGGATAAGAATAAAACTATAGAAACGATGAAAAATTCTCCATTTGAAATAATTTCTCACACAAGTTTTGTGTCAATATTTTCTTAGATCAAGGGAAAACCACTTAAAAGGGGCGATAAAACGATATTAACGACCACGAGATTTGGTGTTTTTCTTAGTTTTTAAAATGCAGTGCTCGGAAATGCCTCTCTCTCCTCTATCAAGGACAATTTATCAGAGACTAATTATTATTCTTACTCACTATCAAGTTTCTCAGGAAACTAAAAGATCGTCTAGGTTATTTTAATCTTACAAATATGTCTTTGATTTCTTTGTTATTCCTCTTGAAAACCCATTTCGAGACTACAAAATTCCTTAAACTTCCCTTTTGCGAAAAAAAACACTGAAGCACAGAAATAACAAAGATTTGCTAAAATCAACAGATTGTCTTGTCGATTTTCGCAGTTGAAAAACCTAATATTTGCACCATATGCGAAGAGAACTGATAAATTAACAATGGAAGGCCAAGATAAGATAGCGTGGCAATCGTGACTTCCTATTTCTTCAGGCGTCAGAGCAAAATTAACACTGCCAATCTTCCAATGATGGACGGATACTACAAATCTACTGCAAGTAAATCCGAGCTCTTGCGCATTGAATGACTCACAAAAGACTCAAAAATAAATCAACACAAATTCCAGAAGGAAGAAGAGATGCAAAATAAGACACAGATTGTAGGCGTGAGTAAATAACAATTAACTTATTATATTTACACAAAGTAAAATGAATTTAGGAGGCGAGCACGGGATTCTCCCCTCGCGAATACAAAAGAGAAACAAGGAGTAGTTAAAATACGTGGAATATTTGGTGATAATAGGATATCTAGAAAGTAAAACATTAATCTAATTATGCTCTCATGCGCAGGACTCTCCGCAAGCTCTCTCTCTCTCTCTCTCTCTCTCTCGGTCTCGCTCTTCTCCTGCCCGTGTCGTGTGTGGACTGCGTGCCGGTGTCTCGTGGGGTGTGGTGACATCTTATGCCACGGCGGGGGCGCCGACGGGGCGGATCCCGTGGAACCGCGTGAGCAGGGGCGCCTCCGAGGCCGGGAGCACTCAGTAGAAGAAGAGGAGGCGCTCCTGTGCCGAGGCGGACAGCAGCCGCCACGTGCGCTTGATGCTGATGTACTGCACCAGGGCGCGCACGCAGATCAAGAAGCCGAACGCCATGATGAGCCACCACAGCCACGAGTTCTCGTGCGACGCCAGATCCGTGGAGTGCTTCACGATGAGCGTCCACTTGGCCAGCGACAGCCCGAAGCCGGACAGGGCGCCGTAGCGCGCCGCGATCGTGTGGCAGAAGCACGTGAGCATGAGGAAGCCGATCCAGTTGAACAGGAACGCCACCAGGAATGCCGTCACGAACACGATGTCCGTGCCCAGCAGACTGTTGTCGCCCGCCATGTTGTCCGTCTCCCCGGCGTCGATCGCGATGAAAGTCAGCGCCGGCGTCGCGCCGTTGCCCAGCGGAGCCCGCCCGCCCGCCACGAGGTTCGGGTGCGGCGGTGGCGGCATGGGTGCCGCCGTGGGGCCGCCCAGCTCCGGCGGCAGCTCTCCGTGGCGGCTCTTCTCCATCTGCACCTCCTCGTACGTCGGCAGCTTACCGCTGGGGATGCCGCAGTTCGCCATGTCCACGCTGCCCGGCAGCGTGGCGCTCTGTGGTACGCCGTCCGGGTGACTGTCCGTCACCTCGTACGGCGGCGGAGCGCTAAAGTCCGCCTTGGGCGGCGCCAAATCCTCTGGACTCATCGCAATCTCAGCAATTCCTGCAGTGGAGTTAAGCGAATGTTATCGATCCGTCGAGATTCAGACTTTCGAGCTCTAATATGCTAATATGAGGAGATTAAGGCGGTCCAAAGAACGTCCAAAGCACAATCGATACAGCATTTTTCCCTTATCGCTGTAGGCGTGAGCAATTACTTCATATCGATCAGCTTAGTTTAGTTGCGAGTGTGACTTAACTATTTATCCCAAACAAAAACACCGTAATTTGCCCACACACAAAACGAACAATGCTTGCTTTGTGAACGCCAAATTAAATGTTCAGCAAGTCGTTTTATAGTTCGTCTGAAACTTGTTGAACTGCAAAGACTGCATAAGAAAGTTTTGACTGTCTTCCGTTTTGCTCTGGAGGTGAAAAATCGGCACTAAGTTGGCGATGGACACCAAAACTTCAATATTACAGCAATAAAGGCTCATGTGCCACTTGATTGCTTCCTGCGTTTTGACTTTTAACATAAAATATTGAATTTTCAGCCATTAAATTTGCCATAAAAATTCCAGCTCTTCATAAGAAAATCACATCTGTGCTTACAAACATTTATGTTTTCAGGAAGAACATTCGTGCTCCACCAGAAGTCGGTGGAGTTTGTTGGTGACAAAGCAGAAAATGATTTACTGGAGTGTTAGCCAAGATTTATATTGCAAAATCCGGTGTCGAATTTCGCTGATGAACCAGGAAAAAAGAGTTTATTATCCACACGGGAAGGCATCGGAAAACATTGCAAAAGTGCGATGTGAGATTGCATCAAATCCCGGCAAGAGCGCATTTCCCCACCCCTGAAAAGTGCGTTGTGGTGAATTGAGGGGAAGTTTCCCTGACGAAGCCCCCCCCCGTGAGAGAGAGTGACCTTCGGTGGGAGCAAAACAAGGAAAAGCCTTCGAGGAAATCAATAAATCGCTGTAGCTTGCAATGGCTCCCACATGATCCCCACTCGAGGTGTTGCACATGTCAATTATGCCGCAATTTTCCCGTAATTATATGAATTTTCCAGGGGAATACAAACAACTCTCGCAACCCCTGAAATTTGTCCGGGAGCTCAAATGGCTGCAAAGTTGACAGAAAAAATGCTGGAAGCATCTGCAAGGAATGGGGAAATGCACGATCTATCACCGTGAGGCGGTAAATTTTGCTGTTTTTTTCTTCCAACTATCTTACGTGGATGATACAGAAGAATTTATCTGGAGAAAAGACATGGCATTGTCTGATAAGACGGCAACCATTGAAAAGATTTTCAGGACCACGAAATCGTGTGACAAAGTGTGGGAAATGTGAGAAAAAGAACATTGCGAGATATCTACCTTGCTTGTCTTGTTGATAAAATGCAATTTGTGTGATTCCTCGGGGGGAAAACACTAGAATTTATAAAAATTTCACTCCCTTTTCACCAATCAGATTCACCAGTGACATTCTTTATGCAGAGCGCGCTGCGTTCGCTGAGAGGAAAATTGTATTTTCGAATTTCGAACTCCAAATGTCGAACAAAAAGTGCGTTTTGGCGGGATTGCCGACATTGTTGTTCACTCTGCGAGGTTAAGCTTGGCGTTCGCCTGCAGAAATATCCTTATAGCGAGTGATTTACTGAGGAAAACAAGGAGGTTTCTGTAAAAATGTCTCGTCGGGACTACGCTGCAGATCATGGTGAGTGAAAATATGGGAAATATGTGTGCAAAACAGTGATATTCAGGGTATTTGCAGAGAGCATCAAAACATTCCTGTCGGAGTTTTCCTATGTCGATGACACCGGGAAGAAGATCTTCCGCTACTCTTCTCAGTTGGCTCCACTGGCTCACCGGGAGCAGGTAGCCATCAACATTGAACTGGATGACCTGACTGAGCATTCCTCAGCTCTGGCGGAAGCCGTTCTGGAGAACACGAGGCGCTACAGTAAAATCTTCGCGGATGTAATTTTTGAGATGCTGCCCACATTCCGTGAGCGTGAGGTTGTGGCCAAGGACTCGCTGGATGTCTACATTGAGCATCGACTGCTGATGGAGGGACGCACACGCAACCCACAGGATCAGCGAGATGCCCGAAATCAGTTCCCGGCAGAGCTCATGAGGCGCTTCGAGGTGTACTTTAAGGCGCCCAGCAACAGCGTGGCCATTCCTATTCGGGATGTGAAGGCTGAGCACATCGGGAAGCTGGTCACCGTGCGTGGAATTGTGACGCGCTGCACAGAAGTGAAGCCCATGATGATCGTGGCGACGTACACTTGCGATCGCTGTGGCTCAGAGACTTACCAGCCGATAAACTCGCTGAGCTTCATGCCCATCAACGACTGTCCGTCGGATGATTGCCGCGTGAACAAGGCGGGTGGCAGGCTGTATCTGCAGACGCGTGGCTCGAAGTTTATCAAGTTCCAGGAGATCAAAATCCAGGAGCACAGCGATCAAGTTCCCGTGGGACACATTCCGCGCTATCTCACGGTTATGTGCAGAGGCGAGACGACGAGGCAAGCACAGCCGGGAGATCATGTGGTAATTACTGGTGTTTTCCTGCCGCTCGTGCGGTCGGGATTCCGCCAGATGATGGCAGGGCTCTTGAGTGACACCTACTTGGAGGCTCACCGCGTCGTGTGCCTCAATCAGTCGGAGTCTTCGGAGGCGGACAAGAATGAGTTGACGCAGGAGGAATTGTCTGAACTGTGTCAGGACGACTTCCTGACACGTCTCGCGAGCAGTCTGGCGCCGGAAATCTACGGGCACATCGACGTGAAGAAAGCCCTGCTACTGCTCCTTGTGGGCGGCGTGGACAGACGCCCAGACGGCATGAAGATCCGCGGCAATATCAACATCTGCCTCATGGGCGATCCCGGAGTGGCCAAGTCGCAGCTCTTGGGCTATATTTCGCGCCTGGCCACGCGCAGTCAGTACACCACGGGTCGCGGATCCTCGGGAGTGGGTCTCACGGCGGCCGTGATGAAGGATCCACTCACTGGCGAGATGGTGCTCGAAGGAGGCTCTCTCGTGCTGGCCGATCACGGCGTGTGCTGCATTGATGAGTTCGATAAGATGTCTGAGCATGATCGCGTGGCCATTCACGAGGTGATGGAGCAGCAGACGATCTCCATCGCCAAGGCGGGCATTCTCACCACGCTCAATGCTCGCGTGTCGATTCTGGCAGCGGCCAATCCAGCTTATGGGCGCTACAATCCGAGGCGCACCGTTGAGCAGAACATCCAACTGCCGGCAGCCTTGCTGTCGCGTTTCGATCTACTGTGGCTGATCCAGGACAAACCCGACAGAGACAACGATCTGCGACTGGCCAAGCACATCACTTACGTGCACGCTCACGGCGAGCAGCCGCCGAGCCGCATGAGGGCATTAGATATGAGTCTCATGAGGCGCTACATCAACCTATGCAAGCGCAAGACGCCCGTGGTGCCGCCGGAGCTGACGGAGTACATCGTGAATGCCTATGTGGAGCTGCGTCGCGAGGCGAGGAACAATCGTGACATGACTTTCACGTCGGCCCGCAATCTGCTGGGCATTCTTCGACTGTCCACGGCTCTGGCGCGTCTCCGCCTGGCCAATGAAGTGGAGAAGGACGACGTGGCCGAGGCCATTCGTCTGCTAGAGATGTCCAAGGACTCCCTCAACCAGATGGACCAGCGCACTGGTTGGGTGATGAACACCTCCGACAAGATCTACGCGCTGATCCGAGAGGTGTCGCGTGACCAGAGGACTGTGAAGGTGTCCGATGTGATGGATCGGTGCACGTCAAAGGGATTCAAGCCGGATGAGGTGGATCGATGCATTGATGAGTACGAGCAGCTCAATATCTGGCAAGTGAATCAGACGAGGACCAGAATTACCTTCGTTTAAGATTGTTTCCTCTCAATTATTGGATTTGTATTGTTCACTTTTGTGTGGAGTTTTCGAATAAAGTAATTTTTTATCACAAACAATTATTTTCTTCTTTGAACTTATGCAAAAATATATTGAATTCCTGTCTTCTACATTTCAGTCCATCCACATTAAGGGTTGGGGACATACTAAAAGAACTTTTGGGAAACCCTTTGCCAGCCTTACAATGTGTAATTTGTCTTCTCCTCATCATTAAGATGGATATTTCAAGAAATACTACGGGTAACCACAAATTCTCTGCTACAAATTGCAGAGAATATTTTCAATTGCATTTAAGGCAAGCGTTTAATGCAAATAAATAGTGATTGAATGTGAAAATCATTCATTCAACGATCGTCTGACTTTCCTGGCGGGACAAAGTCTCCAAACGCGCGTAACCTCACTCCGCTCGGCGCGCTTCGAGTGGCTGCCGTGGTGGTCGCATTGGAGATTTGCCAAAAGCCCACCGTTCGTGGTACTTTTATCTCACTTCGGCGCCGCAGTTCAGTTCCAACCTTGGTTGCGTGTAGATTGCTCGTGCCGGTTCGACGTGAAGAGGTATCAATTCGCCAAGAGTTGTACTTTGTGACTGAGAAAAAGTCACGGAAATCTCGTGGCGTGCGCGGGAGTGCGAAGAAAAGGTGTCCATGTGAGTGAAGGTGCCGTCGTGATTATCTTTGCCAGCTGTCGTGACCGTGAAGAGTGTGCAAGACGTGTCCGCTAAATGACATTTGAGGCAGCGTGAGCCAAGGCATCCCTGGAAGCAGCGCGACCCGACGACCAGTGAGGAATTTTGTGGTGAAACGGAGGATTCTGTCTTGAGGCATCTCTGCAAAATGTCGTGCTCACGTGGATTGAAGTGTTGTCTAAATTTAAATCATGTTCTCGTGCTGTTCTTCGTGGTGTGCAGTTTATTTCTGGTGGATTCACTCGCAGTGGCCAAGAATGTGAATCACCATCATCAGGACATGAGTGAGGCGAATGAGGGCTCGTGCGATGGTGTGAGGAGCTTCTTCGACACTATCAATGTCACCGTTCCGGATCGCGCCACAGATTCAGGTGAGTGACTTTTCCCCCAGGACTCGCGCTCGCTCCCACAGGTTCTCACCTCCCTGCGACTGCTCGAGTGGAGTTGAAATTAATTACCCAGGAATTTTCTCATTACCGAACTCACATTCGGTTCACGGAGAATTGCATGGGGAAAGAGAGAAAGCCGGATGAGAGGATATTGATGAAATGGCGCAAAAGACATAAAATCGATGCAATGTTCCGCAGGATTGCACGAAATTTGGCAATTTTAGCAAAGGGAGACAACGGAAATTGATTTCAATAATTCAATGTGTCGTTAACGCGCTGTCATTCGTTCAATTTTACGTCAGATCGCTCCATTTGAAAATAAACAGGCGAAAATCCCGTCAATCGCGGCGATTCGATGTATAATTTTAGATTGATGAAGTAATGTGGCCAAAAGACTCTAACAGATGCTAATTAAAATTTTATTGAGCAATTTTTGGCCATGTCCATGAACTTGAGCGGCCAACATTAGACAATAGGCTAGTGATATAAACACTGAGGGGAGACTTTTTTCCGATTTATAAAGCATATAACACTTTTTCATGCAAAGTTGGACTGCATACAAAGCATATCAGAGGGTAATGTTGCGTAGTGTTTGTCAATTTGTTCAACTGATTTTTTTGCCAGAAGTGTCAAATGTTTACTGTGACTATCATTGGTAATGGCAAATATTCCTGTAGCCATCGCAGAAAATGCGAAAACGTAAATGGGAAAACTTTTCGTCAAGTTGGAACTTCGTTGAATATTGTTAAATTAGCTGGTTTAGTGCCTCTATGGGCTATGTTGAGTGCGAGCTAAGAAATTGATTAGAATGCTAAGCTGTTTATGTGACGAAGGATTTACCAGATTGTCCTCGAGATTGCCTGTTAGGTCAGATACTATTTAGATAATAAAAGAAAGGATGTTGCCATTGACCACGGCCAGAAGGGAAAATCTTGGGTCTTTAGTGAATGATCTATTTTCTTTCCATATAAGTTGAGAAGGTGGAATTTAGAGGAGAAAAAACATAAACAAGGCAGAGATTGAAGTGTGAGGTTGTTTCCCTCACACTTGACTTCTTCCCCAAATGTTTCTCTCATTTGTTGAAACACGATTAAAAGTAAAATAAACTGATATTTTTTTCATCATGAATTTCTCCCCAATTTGAGGCGCTTCACTGCCATATCAAGAGAGGAAGAGAGAGAGAAAATGCATGGGAAATTACCTGTCTTGAGTGCGAGGAAGGGAAGGAGTGAGAAATTCTACTTGTGTGTTTATCTTCATTCTCTGGGTGGCAACAGAAAATTTTCTCAGTGTGTTGAGCAGTGTCTGATGATCCTGAAGAATCTCCCGAAGAAGGGAGAAGAAGGTCAGGGAGTCAGGGAGACAAATGATCGCAATGGCGGTGAACTTCACACGAATTTTTGAGTTTTCTGGCTTCTTCTCTTTCACTCGCGCTGCCCAGAAATTCCATCTTCGCTTGACCAACTGAGGTGGAGCACGGCCTGTCAGGATTTGTGTACCTGTAACTCAATAATTTTCACCTTCTCAGGAGCATTATTTTTTCTGTGGCCTTTTTTATCTGCATTTTTTGACAGTCGAGTGCGCTGAAATTCAAGAGGGAAGATCTCGTTTTTACCCTCTCGCAGGGAATTTAAAGATCCAACAAGTTCAAAACTTGTTCTCCTTTGGCAAAAATAAAAAGATTTGATATAAATAGGAAGAATTTATTGATAGATGCAAAAGATTCAATGAACCTTTCTCAAGTGGCGTTCAGTGGGTTTGGCTTTTATCAATTGAACTGATCGCTGTGATCTCAATTTCACATATCAAAAGAACTCTTCATAATTGACTTTCTCCTCTTTTATCGCTTAGGCGTTGATATGATATCAATTTAGCAATTGCCAAGTCAAAATTCAGTGGGAATTTGAAATTCTAGCATATGCAGAATTTTTATTGATTTTCTTAAATAGAGCGCTTTTCTTCGCTTAGCTTTCCAGTTTTCATATTTACATATATAGTAGCAGAGTTGGGAAGTCAAATGTCTGCAAGCTATCTAAATGATTTGACAGACGGTTTTTGATTTCATTTTTATTGGAGACAATAAAAGACTGTTTTGTAAATTGTCATCTCTCTGCGAGTAAAAATTTTTCCCATTTTAATATCACTCTCAATTGGTAATAAAATAGTTGTATTTATTTTCCCCACAATGCTAAAATGATCGTAAATTTCACACAAATGAAGCGAATTTAATAGGGATTTTATCAGAAAAATTGGTAATAAAATTGAGAAAGACTTTTCCATTTCTCTCTCTGTTGTCGTTCTGTCCTTAATTGCTGGGAGAATCTCTTCAATTAGACCACAACTTGGTGGCAAGAAGTAATTTCTCATATCACTTTGGCACTCCTCTGGGGGGGAAATGGTGTGTATAGTTTTCAGTGGCCGGAAAGAGTCTGGAAGAAATCCACCCAGAATTAACTGGTGGCGTAATTTAATTAAAATCTCTGGGTGTATTCACAGCGAATTAACATTCACGACTGTTTTCTTCACAAATGCAAGATGAATTCACTTTCCTATTTATTTACTCCATCAACTTGCGCTGTGAGAGCAATTTTCTGAGCAATATTTTGGAATGAAGGAGATAAAAAGAAGGAGAATTTTGACAGAAAATAAATAAATTTCTCTCTATTTGTGAGTATGTTGTGTCTTCTCTTTCAGGACGCTTGTTCATAACCATTAAGGGAAGGCATGGTGTGGATGAATATTGTCTGGCTTATTTGGTACCTGCGGATCTTCTCTCGCACTTCTCCACTACCTTCTTTCAATGAACACTTCTCCTTTCTCTCCTGTCTTTCGTGGCCCAGCGCACAGGCCCTAATGTAATTGTAATCAAGCTTTACTCCGCAGGCCTTTATTTCGTGGAAATGTTTACTATTCTATCTTATCACGGGGCGGTTTGGAGTGTGTTTTGATATTGAAATCTTATCACCTACTTTTTCACCTTTTTTTTGTGGACTCTTTCTTGCGTCTACTTCTCTATCCGTGTCACCGTTTGCAATCCACGAAGACACAGTAAATCGAGAGAGCAATAATTCAATCTTCCCCGAGTGGCAGCAGAAATATGGGAGGAAAGTCTGTGCAGAGAAGTTTCCATGTGTGCTGGACGAGGCGGATAAAAAGAAGAGGGCAAAGAAAATGGGGTGGAAAATCTCATTTCTCTGCTCCACTTCACCCATGTCAAAATGCAATTCACTCTGAATAGGGGCTAGTTTATGACGGGGAACAATAAAAACAATGGAAAGTATTGGACTGAAACTCACTTAAGAGATGGTCAGAGACCCCGTATCTTCCAACTCTTTGGCCACAATTTCTCACAAAAGGACTTCATAATTTCAACCAGGCGCCACCATTTGTGCGATTTAATGAGATTTCTCAACACATAGACGTTTAGGATTTTCTTTCACCGAAAAAATGTACTTATTTGCTTAATTAAATTCCTATTTTGAACCCCTTTTCGGGGGGGTTTTGAAGGGATCAGACAAGGAGTTCAGAATAGCTCGAACTTAGCCTGCAAATTGCATAAATTTCCGAAGAAGTAATTTGTATGGATATTGTGGAGAAATTGGCACAAAAATATGTTCTGGATAATACTGGAAAGGGGCCAAAGAGTTCGTTGTTCGTAGAATTTCAGAACTTTGAGACAATGCGTCAATAAATTTGGAATTAATTTACGACGCTTCTTGAGCCAAGACTGAACTATTATTAATAATAAAACTGTATGAATTACATGAGTCACTCGAGTGAATGTTAATTGGATATGAAAATCCAACAGCGAATTCCGTGAAAACTCGTCGACAGAGACAATCAACGATTTTGTGATGAAAAGAAGGCAGTTTATTCGAGAAATTACATGAAAATTTGATCCTTTTTTCCATGAAATTCCGCCTTTTGCATGCATATTGAATTTTCAGTAGGAGATGAAAGTTCCTTATCGAATGCACGTTATAGCATTTTACCCCTTTTTCCATTCTATACAAACGTGAGAGGATTATTTTGCACTTGGCTGAAAAATTTTCACAAACATGCAAATTTGCTACGTCTGTGTTGTCTTCTTCATCAATTTTTGGGTGTTATTTCGCAGACCCATGCAATTGGCGTGGAGAAAATGACGGAAAAGGCAAGTTCATTGACTGAAGCCGCAGAGTTTTTGTATATTTACCATTTTGTCATTGCGAGAGCGTCAGGGATTTTCGACTGAAAAAAAACCACACGAGATTATTAACCTTTTCGTGTTATTTGAGTTGACTGCAGATTGGATAAAAATCAAACAAATTGTTGTTTTAGCACGGAAATTGATATCATTTTTTTGCATGCCAACTGTACTCACAATTTTCTGCTGAATCGCGAATGAATGCTTGGTTGGTTGGAAAAAAAGGTGAGCGCATGGAATATGTTTTCAATCTATTGGCAATTTTCTGAGTTCAGTATTGAGAGTGACAGTGTGTGCGATAAGAAAGGGAAAAAATCTCATTTTTGTAGATCGTGTTGATGTGTAAATGAAACTATTTATTCCAAAAGATGCTTATTCAAACTACTTCGCACTTTATGATGCAATTAATTCAATTGTGAGAATAAATTGAGTCAATTAAAAAATTACTCCAACTTCCCTCTTATCTCTTGAGAGCATCGTGTTACCCTCTTAAGTAATATCTCAATGTCTGGACAAGGAAAAAAAAATGCACACTGCAAAAATTCTTTCAAGTACACTCACGAGGTAGATTTTTCCCGTATGTTCTGGGAAAAACACTTAGAACTCGTTCAAATGACCATGAAAAGTGCCGGAGACAGATAGAGACATTCTGTATGAAGGAAAACACTTATCAATGAATTCACATCGACAGAGAACAAATTTTAGTAATTATCTCTTTGATTACTCAATTATCACTCTTTATTCGTAGACACTGAACGTTGGTGTGAACATGTGACAAATCTATGCTATTATTTGC